TTTAGAAGAATTCACGAAGATCGGGCGCTTCCTAATGAAGAGAAGTTACAACTTTTGATAAAAGCAACGACTCCTAAATCACGAGCACGCCAAATTGTTGAAAGTTATCCACCAGTGGGAGATAACTATCTCAAAGTTATCGAATGTTTAACAAGACGTTTTGGAAGACAAGATCTACAGATAAAAGTCCTACGAACGTGAACTTTTACAAGTAGTGTTGAACAACGTGAACAAATCGACGAAGCTAAGTTCTTTGTATGACCAAATTGAAGCACAACTCCGATCTTTAGAGACTTTGGTGTGCAGTCCGGCCCTTGTTCAGCTATGCTATTTCCCCTAGTCGAATCATGCCTTCCAGAAGATTTGCTAAGAATTTGGGAAATACCAATATGTTTTAACGATGACGATAGTTCAAAGGTGCATCTGGATCGACTCATGAGTTTTTTGAGCAAAGAAGTTGAAAGCGAAGAACGAGTAGCTCTGGAGATTTCTGGTTTTGGAGACAAATTTCGACGCAAAGATTCTCCAAAAGACGTTCCTACAGCTACAGGACTGTTGACGAAGAACACGAGTAAACTGCGATGCCTATTTTGCAACGAAACACACTATAGCTCCGACTGCCCAGAAGCTAAGAAGAAATCTCTTACTGAACAAGGAAAATCCTGTCGTAAAAGGACCTTTTTAAAAAAGGTGGGGCTTCTAAGATGACAGAGTGTAGTGTTGACACAAGATTTCTTGAAAAAGTTTCAGACAATCATTGATAAAAAGAGTAAATTTAATTTGAGTTTACACCCGTCTATTCCCACAGTGATTCTCATAAATACTTTTAGGGCTTTAAATCGGTTGGCTGAGCTCGGGTTAGTAAAACAAGTAATCGAGAAACTGAAATATTGGGGGGTATGCATAATTCGATTATATTACGGGAGTTTTATCACAATGACTTTGAGAACAGCTTATTTGACAGTCATGAAAATATTTGACATGAAGATCATTGAGTACCTGGACACACAATCAGATGCCTCTGGTTTGATAAATAATTTTTCTAAAGCATACTTACAGTTTATTGTTTGTAAGGTTGGCACCGAGTTTGTCAGTTCCTTCCAGAGATCACATTTCAACGTGACGAAAATCCAGGTTTATTAAAAAAATCTGGTAAGTAAGAAATTTTTAAAGGTGCAAAATTAGGCCAGTCCCAAAGCAAAATCTGTGCCAAAGCTATAGAATTTGCTTGTGAAGCTCTGATGTCCTGTGAGCGTCAGTTAAACACCATAGATGAAGAAAAATGCCAGGGTGATTTTTTTCTTTTTTTGAGTACTTTTACTGATTATTAAAACTTAGGGAATATGGGTAGCCGATTGAGAAATGTGGCCCAACACGAGGGGTAAACCGCCGACCATCAAGTGTACAATTGATTTCCTTTTGACAATGATTTCCTGTTGATTTCCCCCGATTTCTTTTGATTTCTTCTGATTTCCTGTGACTTCCTTTGATTTCCTGTGATTTCCTCTTGATTTCCTATGTTTTTCTTTTGATTTACTCAAAATTTGTTTACATAATGTACTACAGGGCGATTGTTAACTTTTTTTTAACTTGACTTTTTTGTTTTGCCGATAATGATGTTGAATTTAAACCTTTTTTTACCAAGTGTTTACTGACGTACGGTGACTAGGTAAGCTGAAGTGCTTTCCCTTTAGATGAAAAAAATAAATAAATACAAAAAGAACGCTACTCTGAAATCGAGGTTTTAGATGTCTCTAATAAATCAATAGAGTAAGTATACGTTCGAATTTTACACTTTCTTGGGTCAAATGTTTGTTCTAAAAGTGGACATATGCAATATTCTAGATTTTTTGTACATTCAGTCAGAAAACCTTATTGTCTATTTTAATTTTGAAATTAAAAATGTCTGGTGTGTACAAATTAGTTCGTTTAAATTATATAATAAAATTTTGCTTTTGACTTTACGAAATTAAAAGTACATAAGGCCAAGGATATTTTTAGTTACGTCAGCAGTTTTTACTTATCAGTGACTTATAAGGCAACAACGACTGGCTCATACATTCACAGAGGTAATTAATGAATACCAAATAGTCTAAAAACATTCTATTAGGTTCATCTCTGTGTTGTGCATACAAGATCATGTTAAAGTTTGACCTACTAAATCAAACTTATAATAATAACTTAAGTCATTACTTTTTAAAAATAGGGTTTATTCATGTATTATGGTAGCATAAACAGAAAAAACAAGTAGTTTCATTTATTTTATTAAATGTTAAAAAAAACGGTAACTCTAAACATAAAAGTAAAGCATTTCTGTTGGATCATAACAAAATATCACAAAATAAAACAACTTCTTAAAAAATACTTATCCCATAACCTGGGTCGAGATTTGTGTATATATTGTAGATGATGTTGAAGTAAAAAACTGTGCTAAATTCTAGCTACCCATAAATACAGATGATAACACTTTTAATTTTTTGTTCACAACTTTCAAATGAAGCATATTAGAAAAAAACTTTTGAAATGCAAAATTTAACACGTAAGAATTTTTTTTGCACAATAAATGAGTGGATAACCCCACTTGATAAATTTTTAGAGATAATTTTCCCCTTTAAAAGTGTTCATGGGCACCTAGAATTTTGCACAGTTTCTTACTTTAGTATTCTCTACGATATATACTTGTACAAATCTCGACCCAGGTTGAGGTTACATTATCACAAATTTTAATCACATCACTTAAAAAAAACTAGAATTAAATCAAATATTTTTTCAATAATTTTTTTTCAAAAACTAAACTGCCTCTTCTGAGTACCTGAGGTGGAGGTAGTTTCATTATATATTCATTTTCTTGGATCTCCCCCTGATCTTTAATGTCCGGAAACATAAAAGCATCCGGAATTTTTGGATTCCTTTTCAAAAAATCACAAAAAATAGGGTTAAGTGATAACACTTTACTAATGTAACATTTTTTGTTTTGTTTTTGAGTTGTTAATTGTACTATAATATAATCGTCTATATTTAAGTCTGGTTTAGAACGATCAGTCTTACTATTTTCAGCCTTGAGATTCAAACGAGGATTCAAATCATGAGAATAACTGGAAGAATTCAAATTTTCGGTGTCCGTGCTGTCATCATATTCGATACTACTTGGGTTGTCTAAATCAGATGAGTCACTTGATATATTATAGCGTTTTTTTTGTTTTCCAATTTGGACTGGTTTTTGAATTTGAGATGCATCTTTATGTTGAAGTCAGGTTTCTGAGTTAACTCTACTACTATTACATTTCTTATTTTGAATAAATCTTTTGAGACGATCCACACTGACGCGATCCTTTTCATTGTCTAACAGCCAGCAAAGTGAAGACTTTTTTATAACTTTTGTTGTATTATCTAAGCGTATTCTGACTAGATCACCTTTCTCAACAAAAATATCGTCACTATCAAAACTTCTAAGGTGTATGTCTCTGTCAAATTTCTTAGATTCGTACGAAATTGTGCAAAGATCATTCAGTAAATCTTCATCTTGGTCAACTGGACCGTTTTCCAAACTTTGAAAACAGTTACGTTTCATGGCTATTTGAGAATTGTTGTAATTTTCAATGTGATCGCACTGTTCTTCACTAAACATTTCATCTTCAACTTCGTCATTGCATTCATTGTCTTTACACGGAGGCAAAAATACATAGTTGAAATCTATCACTTTCATTCCTAAATCTTTAGTGTCACGCAGACAATCCCGTAAAGCTGATTCTACGGTGCTTTGTATATCTTTATCTGAAATGTTTCCTAAGTCATCATTTTTCACAAAATCTCTCTTCATGATTGAACTTTTTTTCCTGATTTCTCTAGGAAAAACGAATTTTTTTATCCAAATCGTTTTTAATGTTGTTTATAGTTTGCAGTCTGTCACTTCGATGCAACATATCTCTTATACTAAAATTAACAATTGTGCTAAAAGTTGAAGTCATTGATCTAAGGCTTCTAAACATACTCTCACAAGTTTGAGAGCTCAACTTCCAAGGCAAGAACATATCATCAGTAAGATTTTTGCACGACCTGAACTTTATGAATTTGGTACCTCATATCACAAACTCAATTTTTAAAAACTAATTTGGGGTGAAATTATAAATTTGGTTTGTAGGTATAAAGCAATATAATGTATCATTTCTCATCGGAACTGCACTTCATTAACTACAACTTTAATATTTGTCAAGCTGAAATATCATGCTGTCAGTTAATGATATTATACTGGAATTTTCTATCATTATGCTCTTAAAAGGTTATTTAATCTCCACTTTTAAGATTAAATTGATATTTTCTTTCTTATGATGAATGCTATGACTTATGTCGTACATGTTACGTTTATTAGTTCTAGAAAATATCTAGTTTAACTGGATTTGCTGATGATTTAGGATTTCCTTTGTTTTCTTGTTGATTCTCGTTAATTTCTCATTGATTTTCTCTTGATTTCTCGTTGATTTGCTCTTGATTTCCTTTTGATTTCCTTTGATTTCCTTTGATTTCCTCTGATTCCCTTTTTGATTTCCTTTGATTTCCTCTAGCGTGTACAATTGATTTTCTCTGCTGTTTACCCCTCGGCCGAATATGTGCAAAAACGGTTAATTAATAACAAACTTTCCCTTGATTGCCCCTACGCCCTATTCAAAAAATTGGGCGTAATGGCAGCCAATTCCGTTCAACAATCATACCACTAGTAACTTAAGAGGGACAGACAGCATTTCATGAATCGTGGATAGTAAAAGCTTTAGTCAATTTTACTAAATGAGAAGTAGACTTGAATTTATAGTGTGTTTGCAAAGATGGAAATAAAAAGCGCCTTACTTTATGGTCATATAGTACATAGAAAACACCTTGCCATAGACTTTGCGTATAATTTGCTGCGGATCTACGCCTAAAATCAAAACGATTCAACACTACAACAAATACGAAGCAAGCTTTGTGGTCACGTGACTCCCTTGTTGTTTATGATTAGTTACTAAAATAGTCATTCTTGTCAATAACCCAAACCCTAATAGATCGACTGACATTTGTTTACTAAATTTGGAGGTTATAAAGTAGAAGCCTATGTTTTGGCAAAATATCATCAAAGCTAACTCTTTTTAACGAGTTATAAAGACTACAATTAGCCAAACACCCCAAACATAAATATGGGGGGCAAATTCGAGTCCCTCCGCATCGAATATCAGGTATTTCCCAAACATAACCTCACATACCTGTTCATAATTTCACACATTTCAGGATGTCTTACGCAAGTCTTTCAAAACCAAAAGCGCGGAAACAATCGAGACCAAAGTTAAACAGTTTACGAAAACCGCCGCCGACCTCAAAGCCCCCCTGGATCAGGCGTTCCGAGACATGCTGCTTGAGCTCCTCGAGCAAGAAGTTAACGTCGCGGTGTTGTGCGAATTCGTCGATTTCAGCGTCTTGTGCTGCAGAAAAGACCTGAGCAACCCCACGATGCCTGTGGTACTCCTGTCTGATATTTTCGACGCGCTGACTTTGGACGCGTGTCAGGAGATGTTTCTCTATGTTGAAAATAACGTGGAAGTGTGGAAGGAGAATTTATTTTTCAGTTGTTGCAAAAACAACTTGTTGAGGTTGTGCAACGATTTGCTGAGGAGACTGTCCCGGTCTACCGCGACGGTCTTCTGCGGGCGGATTTTGCTCTTCTTGGCAAAATTTTTCCCGTTTTCGGAACGGTCAGGTTTGAATATTGTGAGCGAGTTTAATTTGGAGAATACGACGGAGTACGGGACGGATTCGAGTCAGGATACTGTGGGGGATATTGAAGGGGAAGAGAAGAAAAATGCTGTGATTGATTTTACGTTTTATTGTAAGTTCTGGTCACTGCAGGACTTCTTCCGGAATCCGAATCAGTTGTACAGTAAAGTGCAGTGGAAGTTGTTTTGTACTGTAATGACTTCAATCTTGGAAATATTGTTTTCTCATTGGTTGCTTGTAGTATGCGACGAGCGTCCTAAACACGTTCCAGGGTCTCAAACTTGAACACGTTGAAAATAGTGGCAGCTACTGTGACGAAAGTAAGAATAAAATGTACTTTTCTAAGTACTTAACCAGCCAGAAATTGCTGGATTTGCAACTATACGACGTCAACTTCCGAAGAGCAGTTTTGCTTCAGTTCCTCATTTTGTTCCAGTATTTGTCTTCTTCAGTCAAATTTAAATCGTAAGTATCGTTCAAACCACCAACATCGTTTCTACTTTTCGTTGCAGCGACAGTTTCGAACTCAAAACGGACCAAAAAGAATGGATCCAAAACAGCACTGACAAAGTATACAGCCTTCTGCGCGAAACGCCCCCTGACGGTAAAAGATTTGCTGAAATAGCTTCCAATATTTTAAGTAGGGAAGAATACTGGAACGCCTGGAAAAACGATGGTTGTCCCGAGCTGAAAAAGTCGGTCGTGGCTTTAGAAAACCCCGATAAACGTAAAACTGACGACCGCCCCCTGTTGGGCGACATAATCAAAGACGCTTCCAGCCAGGGTAAATTTTACATGGGAAGCCCCGAACTGACGAAGTTGTGGAACTTGTGTCCAGACAACCTAGAGGCTTGTAAAGGCAAAGAACGAGACTTCCTTCCGACTTTGGAAGATTATTTCGCCGACGCTATAGCACAAATGGAGGCACCCACTCCAGTCAAAGATGAAGACAACTTGCTCAAAGACGGCAACTATGGGTGGAGGGCTTTGCGGTTACTAGCCAAACGCAGCCCCCATTTCTTCACCTACAGTACTGTGATTCTGAATCCGTTGTCTTCGTATTTAGAAATGATGGTTAAAAAAATCGCACATGATAAACCAGGTCGGAGTCAGGAAAATTCACAAGAGGTGCAACAAGCGGATGTTGAGGAGGAAAATTTGTTTAAAGACACACAAGTGGATGAAGGGACAGAAGATATCAAACCGTCGGAAGGGGAAGAATTCATGGATGATAAGAATACGAGGGTTGACCATAAAATTACCCCTGCTCAGTTACAATTATTTAGTGAGAAAGTTGCCCCTCATTGGAAAAAGTTGGCCAATAAGTTGGGTTTTAAAACCGACGAAATTCAATTTTTCACACAGGAGAACGCTAAAGAGGTGGATCAAGCTAAGAATATGTTGCAGTTGTGGTTCGACGATGATGAAGACGCCACTCTGGATAATTTTCTGTACATTTTAGAAGGACTAGAGATGGAGGCGGCGGCGGAGCTTGTTAGAAACGAAATAAATTCGATGGATGCGTGATTTTTTTGTTGTAGTGGTTACCTAGTTTTTGGATTTTTTAAAAAATGAAGCAAAAATCTTCTCGATAGTTTTATTCAAGTCGAGGATTTAAGTCGTTTTTTGGGTTTACTTTTTAACTTTAATTTTCTTTTGCGGTGTAATTCATTGTGGTCAATGTTCGGGCAATCGCGTTTTTTATGCCCTGGTTGCTTGCAATGGAAACAATCCTTCAGTAAAAATAAAATGTGAAACCTGCTGATTATTCTAAGTTTGACTTACCTGCGCGAACACCAATTGTCCACATTTATGGTCAGGTTGGCAGCACCTGTTGCACTTTTTACAGTGCTGCCAACTCGGTTTTACACACCGTCGACACTCCCCACAATGCACGTACGTCCTGCCGTCTTTCGATGTGCAACTTTGACAGATCGTGCAATGTCTATTCTCTTGCGAAACCCATTTGTTGCAAAAATCACAGAATTTGTACCCTTCTTTCGCCGGTAGCACGATTTTACTGTAACTTTGAGGTTAGATCACCACAATCGTGCACACTCGTCTCACCTCGGGTCCACATTCGTGAAAATTCGGACCGGCGAGCCGAATTTTCGCGCCTTAACGCCATCTTGAAATAACGGATGATTGTCATAGTCGACTTTGTAGTCCAACATGACGAAATTAGGGAGGCTATTCAAAATTTGGGGCTCCATGAAGTATGGAAAGACCCAAAATATCGGCAAGTCGGCCTTGGTTTCGTTAATTTGTTTGTATTTATCTGTGATTTGGTGGATGGTGTTGGCAAGGGGCTCCACGCGGCCTCCAAATGGGGGGTCGAGCACTAGAGCGACGTCGCCACTAAAATGATAAAATAAAGAGGAAGTGTCTATTGTCACTATAAAAGTGCTACCAACTTTTCACTTTTTAAAAAGTCATCAAAAATTTGTGATGATTCTTGAAAGAAGAAGTGGTTGTTGAAGCTGTTGTACCAACAGAATTGCAACGGGCCGTAAAATCTGTGGTACCGTTGATCGAAATCCAGTAAAAGACTGTCGATTTTGGGGCACTTTGTGGCCACAAATTCGTGTATCCTGGGTGTCCCCATACTGACAATTTTTTTGTATTTTAATTGTTTGAAAATATCGACAATCCCTTGAACCGACGACGCAGAAAATAAAAATTGTGCTTCTTTTTTCGTGTCTTCTAGGGGTGGTAAGAACTCGCTCGGATGCTCCAATTGGTGGTCCGTAATATTTGTAATAAAATTGTGTTCTTTGTGCTTTTCCCAGAACTTTTTCAACTGAAATTCCAAACAGGTGTGACAATACCCTCTTTCACTTGCGGGCAACTGTTGCACCTAAAATTCAAAGTATAAAAATTGGTTAACCAAATTCTACCATACCTTGTTCAAAGTTATAAACAATTTTCTGTGATTGATATTCTGAAGGAGTTTCGTCCTCTCTTGTTCCCACACTTCGGGCTTATATTTGTTCTTTTCGTCTTCGTAGAGAAAGAATGGACACGATTTTCGGTCTCTGCAGGCCGAACAGGCGAAAAAATTTCGTTTGGTATCATTAATTCGGCGCGAAAAGAGCAGAGTGGGGCCGTGGGGGCACCACGGGTGCGTTTTTAAGTCTTGAATGATTACTTCGACTCCCGACATGGTTACTGTATGTAAATATAACCTCACTTTAACACATGGGGGCTCACGTGATGAAAGTGTCAGTGGTGTGTCAGAACTGCCAACTTAAAAAATGTAAGCACAAAAAAAAGTTAAATCTTGTGAAATCGTCGTTTATTCCTTTTAAATTAGAGTTTGTGACGTTTGGAGGTTACTAGGATTAATAAACACCTCAAATCCATGATATTTAACTGTAAGACGTTAGTAAAATTTTTTGAAGCATATGTAACCCACAATACATTTCTCTTTTAATAAAATAAGTTTTATAGAAATCTGTTTTATTGTTGATAATTTTGACTTAAGAATTATTATTTTATATATTTGCTTAATTAAAAAATCTAGGTAAGATTTCTCTCTGTGATGAATTACTTTTTGCATGGGAGAAGGTGACCTCTGGTGATGGGTAGGAGAACACTCTCGACGACTGCGCATCCATTACAAGAATAATGACCCGACGGCAGCCATTTTGCAGCTGTTGTGTCAAGCTAACTGTCACATGGTGTTGTTTGTTTACAATTTCACGCTTTGTTTTGTGAATGTGTGAAAGCAATGTCGTGTGCAGTGCCTGGGTGCACAAACAATAGAAGATTTAAACCAAAAGGAGTTTCTTTTCATAGGTAAACATTTTTAATGAGTGATATTAAAAAAGTCACCAATAACTGTATTTATAATATTCCAATTTGAGATTCCCTCAAGACGAACTGTTGGACGAATGGTTAAACGCTTTGTGCAAGGATCCCATAAAGAGTTGGGTTTGGTCAAAAAACAAAGTCGTTTGCTCTCTTCATTTCGTACCAGAAGACTTTATCCTTGTAGGAGACAGACGACTGTTAAAAATAACTGCTGTGCCGTCTATATTACCAACAAAACCAAGAAAAATTAAATATTTTTTAGAAGAACAAATCAATAGCGCCGCAAAACCAACTACCAGCAGAGATATTTTTGGTGAAAGTTCAGCGGCTCAAATTGTGATTAAATCTCCGGCTTTGTTGAACGCAGTTTCACTACCTTCTGCGTTAGTATCAGATTCAAAACAAGTTAAATATTTTGTAGAAGAACACGATAGTAAAGGCGATGTGGTAGTACCAAGCACCAGTGTTGGTGGTGCCTCTGAAAGTTCGGTGGTTCACTTTGTGATTAAGTCTGAGACTTCTGTAGATGAAAACAAACCAAAACCTTCTGAGACAGAATTACAGTAAGTACGAATGTATGTGAATTCGATTGAAATCGGGCTAAATTAACACAAATCGCGCACTTTAAGTATTATATTGTTTAAGTTGATGTTACAAGTTTAATAACTGAGTTCATTGTAAACTAATGATTACAGTAAAGGTGGAGTTGAGTGGGAATCTATGAAACATCCCAAAGGTCCTAATCTTTGTTATTCTGGGTACAACTCGATCGCTGCTGCGACTACAGTTGCTAGTAGTACTAGTAGTAAGTTTAACATTTTACTTTCACTACATTCATCATTCATTCGTTGTTGTTGTTGTTGTTGTTGTTGTTGTTTTAGATTTCAACAATTGTTCGCCTTCGGTAAACCCGAACCACACAGTATACGTAAACACGAGTGTGGCTAATTGGAACATCAAGAAGTCGGCTGAAGAGACTGATCCTTTAGCCCCAGAAGCAAGTACTACCAATGTCTCTTTAGTGAAACCAAAAAAAGTTAGGAGAAAACCGCGAACGGTGGATGTAGCAGTAGCCACGTCCCCTACACGTAACCAATTAAAAGCGAACCTAAACGTGAAACGACTCACAGGTCTTTCTTTACCGTTTTTCACAGAACTGTTGTCTTTATTTGACGAGAAGGACCACCCTAGATACAGAAAATTGAACCCATACGAACGCCTTCTCCTATTCTTAATTAAAATGAAATGGGGAATACCGTTTGTGTCCTTGGCGTCATTCTTTCAAGTCAACCCGTTTTCAGCCTCACGCTTTTTCGCAGATGTCTTGGACACGTTGTACGACATTTCGCAACAGTGGTTAGTTTTTTGTGCTCAGTCTACGAAAAAGTCGGATGGGTCGTGCGGACGATTCAAGGTTATAATAGACTGCTTTGAAGTCTTGACCGAATGTCCGGATTCCTCAAAAGAGACAGATCTATATTCTACTAATACAAGACGTCCCAGTTACAAATTCTTGATAGGAGTGGCCCCTTCGGGTTCTGTTTCTTTTGTATCAAAGGCACAAGGTGGGAGTGCTTCTAAGGATGCGGCGTTCAAAGGTACTTGTTCTTCGTGGTCGAGTTGTGTCCAAGCGGGAGATTTAGTAGCAATCGGGAAAGGGTGTCCTGAGTTGGAGTCAACTTTGCAAGAATTGGGAGCTGTGGCTGTACCATTTTTTGCCGAAGAGAGAGGGTGTGTCGATTTGGAAGAACTAGTAGCTTGTAGACACCGGTTCGAGCGAACCGTCCAGAAGCTAAAAAGGTTTGAAATTTTGAAGTTAGTGACCCCGGAATTTTCCAATAAAATCGATAAAATAGTCCACATGTGTTGTGTTCTTGTCAACCATAAACTTCTAAAACCCAGTTGTAGAAAAAAATAGGTATTTTTGTTTAAATAAACGTCTGTTTAAACGAGTGTGTTTGCGTAGAAAGCTCCTGTCACTCCCATTCCTTTCGGTTCGAGTAATTTAGTCACGATGACGTTCAAATGGGTTCGGGTTATGGCGATTCGAAGTTGAACGCAAAATCCCCGATGAGCAACTTGACGTCGTCTCTGTTCAGCTCCCCCTTCGAACTGTGTGATGTTGTTTCAACCGTCTTTTTTTGTAAGGCGGATGAAACCATGATGCTGGTCGTAGAACCCACGACGAACGAGTACTGGATACCGTCCGTGAAGGCGACAGAGCGTAGTTCTTGGTTGAGCTTCGTGCGGAAAGACCTGGGCCAAGACGTATGAAACATCCAAATCCAAGGTGATGACGGTGATTGTTACTTTCCAGATATTTGGAGCGACTCTTCCGACAGATAAGTTGATGCGGTACGTCAAAGTGTGGTTGCCTGCGACTGTTAAACCTGGTTACATTAGTCACTCGATCTTCAACATCCAGGTGAATATGGCTGTGAAGAAGAAATCGAAAAGCATCTCTGCAAAGGTGAGCCGAGGTGCGGAGAGGTTGCTTTTGATGGGTTTGTAGTTCAAGGGCAAGATTTGCTGGAGCAGTTTTGATGAGGTCATGAACTACCACACAAACAACTTATTAAAGAGTCCCGAAATTGTTGATCTCATGTGCTGGAATCTCAATAGGAAATCAACGATTGCTAATATACCTAGTGAGCACATGATGGTAGGTAACTTTATGGAAATTAACGACACCATCTTAATTACTGCAAGAAATACGATCTACGAACAGATAGTACATGCGTCGGGGCTCAGCCGAGCCGGTACGTCTTTGTATTTTTTGAAGATTAAGGCGAATTTGTGCACTTCCAGCTCAAGAAATTCTCTACACACAGTTCCTCATAGTATGTTTTCCTTGCGTGTACATGTCTCTGCAGAATTTTTCCAAGTTCATGATCGGTTTACGTTGGGGCAAAGACGATATTCCTCACTTATTTCGATCGGCAGATTTGTACGACCGTGGAGGACTCTCTTTTAGAGAGTTTATCTACTTTCTGGCGGCTACTGAACAGGGCACTAGCCATGGAGGTGGTAATGCGGAGTTGCGCTGTCGCTATATCTTTAGATATTTGGATACCAGCAATGAGCACGTGTTAAAACGTAACCAACTGAAGAACTTTATTCGTTTGATAAGAAAGGCTAGGAAGCAGCCGCTGACCGAAGACGGCATCGAGAAGGAGTTGAAGGAATGCTATCAGTAAGTTGGCAATAGTGACAGTGTAGTAGCACTTGAGATTTCAGGAGTATAGGTGTTGCCGAAAACCACGCACTCACAATTTCGGAGTTCCTACGCGCAGTTGGAGAACTGAAGGTGAGAGGAACTTCACTGATTTGTCGAGCGCCCACGAGCATTAAAATTTTCGTCAAGGAGATAAGGTAAACGTGTTACAAACTCCTGCCGGTCTATTAAATATTGTGGCGCTTAGTGACATGTATCCACGAGAGAAAGGAACCTATGGAAGTAAAACTTCTGGTAGGTGTAGTCAGAAGAAAAGTGAGGTTATTGTTTATTTTAAAGCGCTGCAGATGTCTACGCAGAGTCCAGCATATCAACTAGCGTTGCACAGTGTCAAGATCCAGTCGAGCGCCGCAGCTATCAAGATACAGCAGTTTTGGAACATTGACAGTTAGTTCATTCTTTTTACTGCGTCTTCCAATACCGAGTTCCTATCCTCTCCTATATTTTCTAAATTCGTAACTTCTTGAGTTACTCGACTCTTGATCTTCCGTATCGAGATGCTTTAGTTCTGTATATTTTCTGTTCTTTTTTCCTCTGCTAGTTAATTTTGTCACCAGACGCAACATCTGCGGTAAATGTGAGCGCTATCCCCTTCAACGAAATCTTGCGCAAGGAATCCATGCACATGTTTGATCAACACTCCGAATCGAACGAACTTCTAAAAGCCATCCGTTACCTAATGCAAGTGAACGGTAAAAAGAACGAAGCCTATATAAGGATTGACACTATGAATTTCGAGTGGGGACAGCTGAACCCGCATGTGGTGTTTCAGAATTTATTCACTGTCTGTAGTGTGGTGAAAGAAATTTTGAAGACCGAACCTAGATTGGTGGACGTATCAGCGCCGGTCTACATCATGGGTGCGTTTCAAAATGTGTACACGTTTCTTCAGTTTCGAATTTTAGGTGACTTACATGGCAACTTCGCCGACCTTCTATTCTTCGAGAAGATGTTTTGGCCCGTGGGACCTGCGTTGTGTCCTTGTAATCTTCTGTTCTTGGGGGACTATGTAGATCGTGGGGTGTACAGTTTTGAAGTCGCTTGCTACCTTCTTTGCTACAAACTGCAAAGTCCGCGGAAGGTGTTTCTGTTGAGAGGGAATCACGAGATTCGACGCGTACAGGCGCAGTGGACTTTTGAGAAGTGGGTTTGCTGAAAGTGAGACGTTCAATGTACTTTTGGCCTTTCCAGGGAGTGTAAACTCAAGTTTGGAGAAAAACTCGGCTCGTTGGTCCATAATGTTATCAATGATGTGTTCGATGTGTTGCCTCTGGCGGCGGTAATCGACGATAGCGTTTTCTGCTGTCATGGTGGTATTCCTCCACCTTGGTTGTGTCCTGTGACTAGCGCAATCAAAGACATACCTATAGTGTTACCAGAACCCCAAGATCAAAGTTACCTCGCTTGGGAACTAATGTGGAACGACCCAGTTCGTACTAAACACATAACGGAAAAAGTTATGATAGAGCTTCAAGCTAATGAAGGTTTTGCCATGAACAGTCGAAGAGGTACCGCCCACATTTTCAGCGTTGAAGCTTTGGAGAAATTTCTAGCCGTAAATCGTTACACTCATTTAGTGCGTGCTCACGAAGTTGTAGAAGCTGGTTTTTACGTAAGTCACCACCTTGCTACTCTTTGGTACTAAGTTAGATTGTGCAGCTGCAACAGAAAGGTCACATGGTGACCGTCTTCTCTTCATCCAAGTACTGTGGAGGAACTAACATGGCGGCTTGCATTTTCGCCGATCAAGGGAAACTAAGGGTTATGAGGGTGGAACTCGAATCAACTACAACGTGAATAAAATTCTATTTTGTCAAAATAAACCGTGTCGAAGTTGTTCGCCTGTAGATAAGAGAGTAACGTTGCGGATTTGTTGTGCGGTCTCAAAGCAACTTTTGCCGATGCCTCTTAACCCTTCAGTCTCGTCTAAGGGGTGATAGTTGTACACCAGGAGGAGAAATTCGTCAACAGTGATAAACCCATCGTCGTTAGAATCCATAGATTTGAATTTTTCTTCGCGAAGGTGGTCACTGCTAGTGTCAGCTCGACTATCCAAGAAGCAGCAACTGCAAACAACTGAGGTGAAGAAAGTGGGCACTATTTATTTTGTTACAATTTTTTGAAATCCATCATTCCGTTTTCTTCCGACGCTAGAAGCATGAAGTTGTTGGTTAAATCGTCGACGGTGATTTGGTCCCACTGTGTGAAGTTTTCCCGCAACCACTTGTCGCGTTTGTCTCCTACTTCTGTCAGTTTGCGAATGAAAGCTTTCTGTAGCTCGTCGTAAGCATCAGTTTGGATTTCCTGATCCTCGGCTTTTTCATCACCCGTGCTCATGAAGTTTTTCTGCAAGTGGAAACAGATGGGTTTGCTTTTTATGGGGAATTCGGTAAAACGGGCCCAAAGTCGTGCCAAAAAAGCTCCCATTTTGACATTTATTTGACATATTTTAAAAATACAAAGGCTTAGGGGAATTATAAATTAATATCCACCATTTTTTCGACTTAAACTAGGCTTTGATATTGTTTTTCATGTTGGACAAATTGATTCGATGGACTGGGTATAATTTTTGATTTGAGGGAACCCCGAGGGAAGTTTCGTATGTTCCATATTTACCAGTTAAGTACACATGGTTGGTTGACAGCGCGGCAGTACGAGGGCAGAATATTGCACACACGCATTACTAATTAGGCCAGTGATAAGAAGAGATTGGAACAAAGAAACGGGCACAATATGGATTGGTGAGACCGTGAAAAGTGAGCACAGTTTTAGAAATGTGACTTGAAAATTTTCTTCCTCAAAGGTTGTCATGGGTCTAACTACGTGCGGTAAAAGCAGGAGAAGCGTGTTTGAAACTATGTACATTTAACAATAATATCTCAAAAGTTAAAAATTTTAATCAATCTTACAAAGAACTGCCTCCTGGAACTCATAAAAATCTAGTAATTTTTTTAGATTTTGGGCATTTTGGTTTTGGATCCAATGCAATTAAGGCCCAAGGTTTTAAAAAGTAATAAATTATTATTTTTGGTTTCTTTGAAAGTGACTGTGGTTTACTTTTTGATTTTAAAGTATACAGACACGGTGGCAGTTCGTTTGCATTATTAATTGCGACAGGTATTTAAGTTTTCACTTTGATGTGTTTATTCAGAACAGTGGTTATTTGTTCGTGTGACTGACGTTGCAGGTAAATGTTTTGCTTGTGTTAATAAAGAGACTTATAATAAGGTTGGTAATATTTATTTGCAAATCGTTATGATAATGACCGTGTTGAGGTTGCTATGAGGAAGAACGGAAGCTTTCGACAAATACATGAACAATTCTGGGGTAGAATTGTGGGGATTGAGTAAAAAGCCAATAAAGCTTACTACTGATTTATTCAAAACAACTTAACTTATTTATACCAAACTACATATTTACAATATATGAGTGTTTCTTCTGGATTTTCTCTTTCACTTTTTCAACCACAGCTTCCTCGTACTACTTGTCGGTAAAATATTTTTCTTCGGAATCAGTTTCCTGGACATAGATTTCTTCATGCAGTTCTACGATCCTTCTCCACTGACCTTGGATTTTTTCAGATAGTTCATAACTGACTCCGCTGTAGTCCTGAGCTAAATCGCTCTTTATTTTGGTCATTTCGGTGGAGATTTTTTGCAGTCTGAACAACTGGTGTCGGATGCGGGCTTCTTGCTTTTCTTAAATTTTATATATTTGTATATCAAACTCGACCATCAATCCCCGAAAGTAAGAAGAAAATTCGCGTATTCGCAAATTGCAAATATCATTGCGCTTGTCAGATATTGCAAACAGCATGCGCAGAATCGTACACCATAAAAATCTCCAATCGCAATTACTTTCATCCGAATTCGTACCCAAACTGAAACAGTTGCAGACACATTTATCCAGATTTAATAGGAATAGCCAATTTTGACACCATTCTTTCACAGAGTGCAGATCCAATTGTAGAATAGTAATATAGAACAAAAATAACGCGGGGCCTAAAACTGATCCTTGCGGCACTCTTGAGCACATGGAAGAGAAATTTAAAAATCGAAAATTTTAACAATCGAAAAACAAAGATGTTAAAAAATCGAAACATAAAAATTCGTAAAACCGAAAAATTGAAACATGATTGTGTAATTTAAAAAATCGAAACATTGAAACATCACAAAATTAAAAAAAATGAAAAATTTGAAAATCCAAAAATGAAAAATCGATTTTTCAATTTTTCTATTACTGGGTGTTTCAGTTTTTAATTTTTGGATGTTTCGATGTTTTGATTTCTCGCTTTTTCGACTTTTCGTCATTTCAGTTTTGGAATTTTTCAATTCATCCATTTTTAGTTTTTGACTCCTCAATTTTCCAATTTTTTAAATTTTCGATTTTTAAATTTTGAATTTTTCGATTTCTCGATTTCTCTGTTTTTTGATTTTCCAATTTTTAGATTTCTCGATTTTTTGATGATTTAGTTTTTTTATTTATCTATTTTATTTTATTTAAATTTTTCAATTTTTTATGTTTAAATTTTTAATTTTTCAATTTTTACCTTTTCGAGTTTTCGGTTTTGGGATATTTCGAGAACTTTTCAATTTCTCTATTACTCGATGTTTCGGTTTTTCAATTTTTGGATTTTTTGATTTCTCGCTTTCTCGATTTTTCGACTTTCCGGCTTTTCAATTTATTAGAATTTTCATTTTTCAGTTTTTCCATTTCCCAATTTTTCGTCATTTCAGTTTTGGCCTTTTTCTACTTATCGATTTTTTAGTTTTTTGATTCCTCAATGTTTCAATTTTGTAAATTTTCGATTTTTAAAAGTTTCTTTTTTCGATTTCTCGATTTTTCGGTTTTTTGTTCCAATTTTTAGATTTTTTTTTTTGGAATTTTTCAGTTTTTACATTCTTGAATTTTTCTCGATTTTCCAATTTTCGATGTTTCGGCATTTCGATTTTTCGATATTTCTCGATTTCTCAACGTTTCAGTTCTTCAATTTTTGTATGTTTCGATTTTTCAATTTTCGGCTCTTGGATTATTAGAGTTTTCGATTTTTCAGTTTCCTAGTTTTTCAATTTCCCAATTTTTCGTCATTTCAGTTTTGAAATTCTTCGATTTATCGATTTTTTAATTAAATTTGTTGTAATTTTTAATTTAAAATTTTTCATTTTCAAATTTTCGATTTCCCGAATTTTCGACATGTCGAATTTTCCATTTCCCGATTTTTCGATGTTTCAGTTTTTAAAATTTTCGATGTTTTGATTTCGCTGTTTTTCAATTTTTCGACTTTTCGGCTTTTCACGTTTTAGATTTTTCGATTTTCTAGGTTTTCGATATTTCGATTTTTCAAGTTTTAGATTTCCCAAATTTTCCTGATTTCAGTTTGAAATTTTTTAATTTCTCGATGTTTCAGTTTTTTGATTTTTAAATTTTCCAATATTTAGATTACTCAATTTTTTAATGTTTTAGTTTTGGGATTTTTCAGTTTTTAGATTCTTCAAGTTTTCTCGATTTTCCAATTTTTCGATTTCTGGATCTTCTGATTCTTCAATTTTTTTGATACTTCAATTTCCCTGTTATTTAATTTTTTAGTCTTCAATTTTTCTATATTTTAATTTTTCAATTTTAGATTTTTCGATTTCTCAACTTTTCTTCAATATTTCTATTTCTTCATTTTTATAATTTCTAATTGTTAGATTTTCAGTTTTTTGATGTTTCGATTTCCTCATCTTTCGATTTTTCAACTTCACAGCTTTTGATTTTTCGATTTTTAAAAATTTTTGATTTTTCAGTTTTTCGATTTTTCAATTTTTCGCTTTGTTTTAAGTTTTAAATTTTCAATGTTTCAATTTTTAACTTTTGGATTTCTCGATTTTTTAATTACTCGCTTTTTTCGATTTTTCGATTTTCGGCTTCAAAAAATTTTAAAATCGAAAATTTAAAAACCGGAAAACGAAAAATGAAAAAATAGAAACTCCAAAATTTTAAAAATCGAAACATCGAAAAACTGGAAAATCAAAAGATCGAGAAATCGAAAAGTGGACAAGGGGAAAAATTGAGAAACCGAAATAGGCCAAAATCGAAAAATCGAAAAGTTAAACAAAAAGAAACAAACATCCAAATCTCGATAAATCGAGAGTATTTAATAAATCGCAAAATTGAAAAAATGAAATATTGTGAAATCGAAAGATCAAAAGATCGAGAAATCGAAAAGTCATGAAATCGAAAAATCGAAAAGTTGAGAAACCGAAACAGGCTAAAATGGAAAAAACGAAAAATTGAAAGTTAAAAAATTGGAAAATCGAAAAATCTAAAAGCGGAAAAATAAAAAAACGAAAAAACGGAAAATGGAAAACTGAGAAACCGAAATAGGCCAAAATAGAAAATCGAAAAGTTATATGTTGACTGACTGATAAATTGAGAAACTGAACAATTAAAATATTCAAACATCCAAATCTCGATTAATCGGGAAATCACAACATTGAAAAATCGAGAATTTTAAAAATGAAAAATTTGAAAAAACGAAAAATTGGAAAACAGAAAATCTAAAATCGGAAAGTTGAAAAATCGAAAGACTAAGAAATCAAAATATTTTAGAAATTCTAAAAATTGAAAAATTGAAATATCGAAGAGTTGGAATGCAAAATCTAGAAATCGAAAAATCTAAAATTTAAAAATCGAAAAAGTAAAAAATCGACACATCGAAAAATCCAGAATTCAAAAATTGAAAAATCGAAGAATCGAAATATTGAAAAATCCCAAAAATGAAACATCCAAACACTGAGGAATTAAAAAAATTGAAAAATTGAGAAGTCAAAAAGTCAAAAAAGTGAAGTCGAAAAATCAAAACCTTAAAAAATTGAAAAATCAAAAACCTAAAAAACTGAAAAAGTGAAGAATTGAAGAAATGAAAAATCGAAAAACTGAGAGTTTATAAAAGTCAAATTTGAAAAATTGAAAAATCAAAATATTTAAAAATCGTAAACTTGAAGAGGAGAACAATTAAAAAAACGTAAAATTGAAACATTGTAAAATTGAGAAATAGAAAAATTGATAATCCTGAAATTGAAAAATTGTAGAATCGAAAAATTGAATTTCATATAAAAACTGAAAAATCTCAAAATTGAAATTTTGAAAAATTGAAAGATGAAAGAAAAACTGAAAAATTGAAAAATTGAGATCTCGAAAAATCAAAAAAGTAAAATCGAAATACAGGAACCTTAAAAAATAGAAAAATTGAAGAACTGAAAAATTGAAAAATCGAAAAACAGAGTTTATAAAAGTCAAATTTGAAAAACTGGAAAATCAAAATATCGAGAAATCGAGAAGTCGACAAGGGGAAAAATTGAGAAACCGAAATAGGCCAAAATAAAAAAATCGAAAAGTTAGACAAAAAAAAAACAAACATCCAAATCTCGATAAATTGAGAGGATTTAAAAAATGGGAAAATTGAAAAACTGAAATATTGAGAAATCGAAATATCAAAAGATCGAGAA